ATAATGATGGAAAGGAATCCCTCGAATTTTTCCCTGCTCCCTAGTTCTTCCCTCTTCCCTTTGAAAGAGTCGAGGCTCATTCCTCTTTGAGAATGGGCAGGTAAGGACAATGTATTTGGACTCAGGCTGGGGAAATGGACAGATAGGAGGGACAGACAGTCCGCCAGCCAGTGCTGAGAGAAAAAGGGGTGGGGGAAAATGCCACAGGCGACTCTCTCTCCCTATGGTTGCTTCATCTCCCTTGGCAACCAGGGCCTTGGCAGCTACTTCACCCGCCCCCAGAACTTAGCAACCGTGGGAGCCCCTAGCAACCACTGCCATGGCAACATGGTAGGAAGCTGAGTACAAGCTGGGTGATGCGGCCCTTGAGCACCCCCTCAGAGCCTCCCGCCAAATGTGGGGTGGACTCAGGAAGTCAAGGGGAAGCAGTGAGAAGAAAGATGGACAAGCCCCAGGACTCATGATATCCTGGTCCTTTGCCCCAAGCTGAAGCTTTCTCTCTGCTCCCACCTTTAGACCTCCAACATTTCTAGTTTCAAAGGGGCTAGAAATGGGGGCACAAAGATCTGAAGTGATGACATCCCTTACAATTACACACAACATTACAAATATCATATATGCAGAATCACACATAGTATCATATCCACTCAGTTGCACTCACAATCACATAGCGATAACAGTCACAGTCACCGACACATGTTTACATATTCACATTCACTCTTTCACACAGATCTACAACCATACATAAAAGTTGCATGCACACACAATTACACAAAATCACCAACAAGTAAATCACAGGCAAACCACCAAACAAGCAGACACACAGTAACAGATATATCACATCATACCAATCATACACAACCACAGATGGCTCAGAGACAATAATCTACACACAGGCACATGTAATCACATAATTACACAGTGACATAACCACACAATCACAAACAAACCACACACTCTGGTACGCAAAGACATATTCATAGGCAGATTTATTTAATCACATACACAGGGTCAGAGTCAAGTGGGATTAGTAACCAGAGACCCAATTCATCAGGGAAAAAGATGAAAAACAGATACAAGTTCACACAAATTCTGTTGTCACATTGCCCCTTCACTCCATCACTCCCTGTTTCCATCTCCCTCTACTTGCCTTCTTTCTCAGCCCCTAGCCCTGCCCATAGACAGCCAAGTGACGTGTGTTCCAGACAACCTAGAAGCTGACCTTTCTGCCCTGACCCTATTACCATACCATTGGCCTATATACTCTGCTCTAGTTCTCCCAAAGCTCCCACTAGGGCCTGTACCTAAGCCCCTTGCCCAGAACGTCAAAGAGTGCCCAGGGCAGAGCAGCCTATACACTAGCATTTCTAAAAGATATACACAGGTGTACATGTACGTATAGACATAGAGAGACCTAGCTGTGTAAGTACACACTGAAATGTCTATAAGCTGGACATACACAGGCACATGAGCACACTGGCACACACACACATCTATGGTCAAGGCATGCACACACACATACACAAACGAGTATTATTAAGTCCCCAAATCAGAAAGGTTGAGCAGTAGGCTTAGAGGATTTGGGAGCTGGGAGGAGAACAAAATAGGAAGCAGCGGGAATAGGCAACTCAAGGACAACTCTTTATAACCTTTACTCACAGCTAGAGACTGGCACCAGGTCTTGCCCCCCATCCTCTACCTCTCGCCATTCACTCTTTTCACCCCATCACCTTCCTCATTTCATCTTCCCTTTCACTTGATTTTACCTTATTTTGTCTCTGTTCCCTCACCCCATCTTCCCCTTTCCCCCAATCTCCCACCACCTGTACCATTTCATCACACTCCCCACCCCACCCCCAACCCCACAGAAATAGGTGGTGGTGAATGAGGGTAGATCAAATTAAGAAATCTTCTGGGATTCAGGTCCCACCTCCATCTCTACAATGTAATCCAGGACCGGGTACTTCTAAGGTCTCAGGTTCCAGCTCAGTCTAATGGGCATAGTGCTTTTTGTCTGAATCCCCTGACCCTAGAAAAAAGAAGAGGATGGGAAAAAATAATGAGGGCCCCGCCCTTGGGGAAACAGTCTCCATCCCATTTCCCTGGTCTGCCTAAAGACCCCTCTGTCTCTCAAGGTGCTCCCATCCCCCTCTTCACCTCCCCACCCCCTCCCACGCCCCCATCTCCCGCTGGCACAGATGGGCCCTGGGAGACAGTGACGTGTGCGCCAGGCACTGTGTCTGCTCAGGCAGCTTCCGATGGCAGCCACCCCCGCAGCTCTACTCCCCCAAACCCCAGGGATTGGGTGGGGGAGTAGACAGGAGGATGGGAGACAGGAAGACAGGAAACAGGAGGATGGGAGATTAGGGGGCAATGAGAGCATGGAGGAAAGCAGGGTTGAAATAGGGTTGGAAGAAGGGAGACTGAAACAGGTGAGGGTTAAGGTCAGTAATGCTGCATCTAACCCGAATCAGTGTCAAGGTTGGGGAATCCAGGCCTCGGTGAGGACGGGGGAGTCTGAAGGGTCAGGATTCAGGATCTGCATTTGAATCTGTGTCGGGGATCTAGGTTTGGGTCAGAGTGGAGAATCTGGATCTAAGTAGGGGTAGAGGGTCATTGGACATTAGAGATGAGAAAATTTAGACTCAGAAAAAGTTAAATGATTTGTCTAAGGTCACAAAGGCAGTAAATGAAAAGACCAGGATTTAAACCCAGTTCCTATGACTCCTATAATAGAACTCTTCTGAATCTAGGTAATAGAGAGGGGGTGGGACAAGGTCAGGGTCAGAGTTAAAGGGAATCTAGGGGCTGGGTCAGAATCAAGAACAGTGAGGCATCTGGAGTTGAGCCTGGGCCAAGGTGGGGGATCTGGGACAAGGTTGTGGATCAGGGTTGGGAGTGGGATTTGGGGGCTGCAATTAGGTCAAGACCAGAATTGAGAATCTGAAACTGAGTTATGGTCGGGGTGGGGATAGGGGCAGGTTCTGATTGGGGGCTCGGTTGATCTAGGCTGGGTTCCAGATGAAGTTTAGGAAGACAGACTATGAGGAGCTGCCGACCCCATCAGTGGAAGTCGGGGATGGCCTCACCCCTACCCTCTTTCCCAGGTCCCTAACTATAAGCTCATCCTTTATGGGCTCCCCGAGTCCCCAGCCAGGTCACCCAATCAACTCAATTCATCACACATTTATTTAGTACCCACTACGCGACAGGCACTATACATACGAAGAAAAAAAATGGAAACAGATCCTGTCCTCAAGAAGCTCCAGGTCTACTGGACAGCTGCTGCTGGGTGGGGAGTGGGATCAGGGAAGGGGAACTTGAGGCTGGATTTGTGGGCGGAGTCAATAGGGAGTTCCCTCACTGCCACTCCTGCCACCGTCGACCTCTTGAACCCACCCAATGGACTACAGTTCCCAGGATGCATTGCGACCCATTCCCCATTCCCCCTGAGAAGCTAATGTTTCTTTTGAGAGGAGGAGGCAAAAACACCCCCAAAGCTCCGTCTGAGGCGCTGTCGTAGGGCAACGGTAGCCGCGTTCCCTTTAAGTCCTGCCTGTGACGTTGCGAGGCTTCCAGAAGGTTCTCTAGGGACTAGTAGGGTGGCCGGCATGTTCCACCTCACAGGCCTGTCAATTGGGCTGGTGGAGAAATGCCCCACTAGCCTGAGGCGGAGCTAAATCCTTCATTTGACCAATGCAATCAAAGGGCGGATGAAGATCCCACCTTCAGCTTCCTTCACCAATGAACGTGACTGGTAGGCTAGGAGGCGTGGTTGATTGACTCTTGAGAGCTCCAGTTATAAGCCTGGAATGCAAGCGTTGTGCAGACGAGGGGTCGGCCGCAGGCCGCCGATGAAAGTAGGCGTCCGTCCCCCCACGCCTCTCAGCGCCCCCTTCTCTCTCAGTACCGTCCAATCATGTCAAGGACCGTGCTGAGTGGCGGGCGTGTGGCGCAATGGCCGGCGCGGGGGCGGGGCCCTGGAGGCGGGTCTCCCCCCCGTCCACCCACCCTTCCCCTCTCCGTCAGCGGCCGGTGGCTTCTGTCCCGGGTGGAAGCGGTGAATCCGGGGGGAGGGGACAGGACAGGACGGGACAGCGGCTCAGTCTGACCGACCGCGGCGGCGCCCGCAGCTTCTCACCGGTGAGGGCGCCGCGCCGGGGCCGGGCGGGGGCCGGGGTGGGGGCGGGGAGTCCCAGGGCCAGGGTGTCTGGGCTAAAGAGGCGCCGGAGGCGCGGCTGGATACGAGAGCCGAAGGGGTCTGGGGGGTATCTATCGGTGGTCTCGTGCCTGGGGGCCTAGAGAACGGATCTGCCGCCGGGTGGGAGGCCGAGTACCTGCGCCGCGGGGAGCTGCTGGAGGGCTAGGGGGTCGGAGGGCCGTTGCCGCCGCCGCCGCCGCGGGGAGAGCTGGCGGGGTCGGGGGGCCAGGGGCCGGGGCCGTGCCGCCGCCGCGGGGAGCTTGGGTTCTAGGACCTGCCAAGTCCACCTGGGGACGGAAGGTCCCATGGGCACTCCCTCCCAGGCCGGACAGCTGATTGCTGACCCCTGGTTGCACCCTGGAGTGTCCAGCTGCCTGGGGTCTGGGAGAGCTCGAAGGGAAAAGAAGGGAGGAAGGACCGAGGGGACTGAAGACTAGACATGCCCCACGACGACAGGGCCCCACAGCCCTCCCCTGGGCTCCCAATGGGGGTGGGAGTGAGGGGCAGGCAGGGCGAGGAAGGGGTGAGGTGGAGCCGGGGGCTGGCGCCAGGCTGGGGGTGGCTGGGAGCGGTCCCCGTCACTGCTGGCACCCCCCCCCCCTCCCCCCCCCCCCCCGCCCCCCCTGGCCCCCCCGGGACCCCCCACCCCCCCCCCCCCCCCCCCACACACACACACGCTCTTCTCGACCAGTTCCCCCGCCCCCACCCTTCCCGAAGCGCCTTTTGTCTGAGACTGGCCCCACCCCGAGACCAATTAAGGAGGAGGCACTGAACGTCAAGTGACTTCATTGAGCAGGTTCTTGGTGATTTGGGGTCAGGCTCTCCCCAGTGAGTGAGGAGCTCCACGCTGTTCCTCTCCATCTCACACTCACAGGCAGTCACTCACAATCGTATACGGGCACACACACTAACCCACTCTCAAGCAGTCATAGTCTCAAATACAGCCAGCCAGTAGTCACACAAGAGACTGCTTCTCTGGATTCCTTTCTCCCTCCTCACCCTTTTGAGGTCTGACATTCACTGACTCTTCAGTGGGAAGCCAGAGGAGGACATGTGGCCCTGAGGAGGACCTGGCTATTGAAGTACCTGGTGGACAGGTGGGTGAGGGCAGAGAGGAGGGGTATTGCTGGGCATGTTTAAGCGCACTGGGCTCTCCTGCGCACCCCCAGCTGCTCCCCCAATCCAGACAAGAGGAGGTTTCCGGAGCTTCCCACACTTCTGGGGAGAAGACTTCTTAGCCAGCTTGATGTTTAAAATTCAGCTGGAGCCGTTAAAACTGCGTGCATGGACGCTGAATGGGTTTGTAAAGTTTCGGTAAGTCCCTTTAAAAAGTATTTTCACCCTCTGCCAGAATGGCAGAAGGACATTCATCCTTTCATCATACCTCACCATTTTTCATCTCAAGTGTCAGTCTTACCTCTGGTATTTCATTCATCTCATATCCATCCTCTGATATTTAATTCTCCCATATCTCTTCCTTTTCTACCCTTTTCCTCCCTCATATCACATCCTCCCATGCCTTATTTCTTAGGATTTCATAACCCCAATATCTCTATCTCATGTCCCCTCATCCCCCCCATCTTACATCCTCTCAATATCTCACATTCACAATATCTCAATATCCTCATATCCACTGATATCTCCCATCCCTTCATCTTCCATATCTCACAGCCCCTCATCCCCATATCCCCTCATTCCCCAAATATTTCACAACCCCTTGTCCCCCATATCTGATAGTCCCTCTTCTCCCATATCTTATATTTACACATCCATTCATCCCTCCATGTCTTATCTACTCATCCCCCAGATATCTTTCATCTACTCATACCTCACCTTATATTTAACATATTCCTATATTCCCCATACCCCCATTCCTCCTATTCATATCATTCCAGTCATGCCATTCTTTCATACTTCACCCCATCTCACACCCCTACATTACACATTCCAACTTACATCCATATTTCATATCCCCATATACCTTGCCCTTGCCATTTTCATTTCATTTCCTGCCTCAAATATCTTATCAAAGACCTTATTTTATCCTTCCCTCCTTTCATACCAACCCCAGTGCTCCTGCTCTACAAAGGCTTGGAGATTCTTTGTCATCTGAGCACATGGTGGAGGAGTTGGGAAAGGAAAGCAGGGCCCCTCTAAGCTCTTACCTGCTAACCTAGAAAGACATGCTAAACTTGCTGGAGGGGGGCCTTCCAAAAAAGCCTGCCCTTTATTCCTTTCCCCTGGAGGTGGGATTCAAGGACCCTTTTAAGCCCAGCTCATTTGGCAGTTGGATTCTGAGGAAGGGAACTAGCCTGGTGGCAGAGGTAACATGGGGACAGCATGAGGGTGTTCAAGATTAGAACCTGTTTTGTTTGTCCCTGGACATGGAACTGCTGTGATGCCTCACCTGTGAGTTGGCATTGGTGGGTGGGGGAATGACACCCAGGCCCTGAGTAACTGTGGGGTGGGGAGGCCTGGATGATGGGGGAAGGAGATGTGGGCTAGGACAGAGATGACAGCACTCCCCCTGCCAGCTCCTTCTCAGATTTTACTGCTGCTTCCGAAAATGGCTGCCCACCCCCAGATGCACTTTCTTTTCTGTGTGCCCTCCCTACCCCACCTCCCCCACATGCCAGTGATTCAAAATGGCAACCCCCAGCTTGTCGCGTGGGGGGCCGCCGGGAGCTGTGCAATTTGGCATGATGTGCTGGTGGAGGGAGGGGTGCCCGGGTTCATATAAATGCTTCTCTTTCGTACAAAGAGGCTCCCAAAGGCATGAGTCAGCCCAGCAGCTGCCAGCACTGTGGGGGCAAGAGCTACAGCCACTCTAGCCCTGGTAGCCCAGGGCCTTGGAAACAACACTACCTCCTCTCCTCCCTGATTGAGAGGTAGCTTACAAGGGCTGATACCCTGTCTCCCTCTTGCCTTCCCACTCCATAAGTCCCCCTTCAAGTACTGATGGTAGGAGGTCATGAGGGCAAGAGGCAGTGGCTATGGCCTTGGCCCAGGGCATTGCTAGAAAGGCTCTGCCCCTGCCCTGGCCATTGGCAGTAATTGTGCTGTGCTTTAGAAGAGCCAGAGAATGGCTTTTGGCTGTTCCCCAAACAGAGCCCCAGCCAGGAATAGGAAGAAACCCTCTCCTCTCCACAATGTGCACATCCCTATGGACACACACATATACATGCACATATGGTGAGGAGCACTGGGAGCTATGACTGTCCTATGCCATCTGTGAGCAGATATCCCTTGATCTAGGCCTGGCAGATGAGGCCAGTGGGGAGAACCGGGGCTTTGGCACTTCATGCTAGGTAGACACTGAAAGCTGGAAGTGAACCTGGATAGGCCAACTTCACAGGGCAAAATGTCTGAAACAGGAGGGAAGGGATATCAGGAGTCCTCTCTAGTATTAGGTAAAGGGTGGGCTTGCAAACAAATGGGGCCAGAATAGGAGGGGAAAGGAACTCTGTCTCTCCTGGGTTGCCTGTGTCAGAATTATGCCTACTGTATGTGTATTGTGGAGCAAAAGGGTGGAGTGGTAAATGAACTGACGTGCTACCTTAGGGCAGGGAATTGATCCTCATACTGATGGAGACAGAAGTTCCTAGTTCTTTTGCCAGGGGCTGTGACTCATCCTGTCTTCATGGACTTGTAGGGATCAAATCACATATGCATGTGAGGTTGGGAATGAGCAGACTAGAACAGAAACCAAGGAACTCTAATGGCAGAGGCTCTGAGATCTCTTGCACCTTTGGCCTAACTTACCAAGACAACTGGCTAGCTCAGGGGTAGCCTATATGCCTCTTCCCCCAGGAGGCTTTTGGGAGAAGAATATTCTCACAAAACTATGCTAGAGTTCCAATATTGAGCAAAGACTATTTACCCTTTCAGTCCAGCCATCAATCAGTTATTCCTTCCGTTCATCTACCAGATAGGTGCATCTCCCTGGGGGCCACAGCATCCCTGTGACAACCCAGCTAGGACAACCTAGCCCAGGATACCTTCCCTTCATTTCCTGTCCCTGCGTAGCGTGAGCCAAATTTAATACTAATTTAGGTATACCCATTCAGCAGTATTAGCCCCTGTTCTCTCACTCCCCAGCAGGTTGTGGAAACTAAATGTTGCCTTGTATAACCTTACTAAACATACTTCCTACCCTATTCTATCAGCTGGTTGTCTAGAGATCCAGTGGAGAGATGCCTTTGAGACACTGGCGCACAACAGATGCCTTTGATCTGGACAACTCTAAGGCTTGACTAATGAATCGGGTCTCAGCTGGGCCCCACAAAGTAGGCCACGGCCTCCTCACTTTCCAGCTCCTGGAATTCAGGGGCTAAAGCCAAAAAATGCTGTATTCAGCCCCTGAACTGGAAAGGGTCAAATGATTGTGATGATGGTGAGGAGAGCTTATGAAAGTTAAAATTTAGAGCAGGAAAGCTCTACCACTAAGGAGCTAGGTGACCTTGGAAGTGAGTTCATATTCCTAGGCCTCAGGGTCTGATTCTAAAGAACTTTATTCACATAGTCCAACTCTAATTTTATAGATGAGGAAACTAAGGCCAAGAGAGGAGACTTGTCCAAGGAAGGGTAAAATCAAGGGGGAGGTCAGAGCAGGTAGATGAAAGGGGTTATTTTAGATTTGGCCATGGGCTTCTTTCAGGAACAAGGAGGCCAGTACTGGTCCAGTTGCTGTAATGGGAAAGGATTATTATAAGATTCTGGGCATCCAGTCTGGAGCCAATGAAGATGAGATCAAGAAAGCATATCGGAAGATGGCCCTGAAGTATCATCCAGACAAGAACAAAGAGCCCAGTGCTGAGGAGAAGTTTAAGGAGATTGCAGAGGCTTATGATGTGCTGAGCGACCCCAAGAAACGAGCCGTTTATGACCAGTATGGGGAAGAAGGTAAGAAAGCCCTCAGCTCCCCAGCACCTGGCCCAGGGCAGCCCTGTGGGTGAATGATGCCAGTTCTCACTGCAGAGAACTATGTGACCCAGTTCCTTCTGAGCTCCGTAGCAACAGGGCAGAGGCACTGCCATTTGGGTAGTGAGGCTGAGGAAAGGGTCAGGAAGAAGGCTGCCTCATTGCTTCCCTGAGCCTGACTCCTTCTGCACCCTGGCTTTGACTGGTGAGGGTTAAGACTCTCACTAATAGCAAAGAAAAACAGCTACTCCTCTCAATACTCTAGGCCCCTGGGACCCATTTCCTTTACCTTGGGCCCCCTAAACTCTCTACTCACCACCATTATTTGACCAGTCTTCACAATTTAAGGCCACACATAACACAGGCACAGAGGTAAGACATAGGATATAGCCACTATGATGCCTGGGCTTTGGGATTCTTCTGCCGGTCTTGAAAGCACCTCTTCTCCCAGCCTTATTAGGCCATCCCTGAAGTCAGTGCTGCCCCATTGGATGGGGAAATGGGGAAAGGCACATAACATTTGTATTCATCAGCATAGAGTTTTAGCCTCTGAAGGCCTCTATATAAACAGACTGGGGCCAAGGGAAGAGTGAAAGATGTGGCCTCTAGCCCAGTATCCGGCAAACCCAGGGACCAAGGGCACCTAAGATCCTGAGGGAAGCAATCTGCTTGCCTGCCTGCCTGCCAGGGTCAAATAGGAACTGAGAGTCACTGCTGGGACCAAGGCTGGAGTGTGACAGACAGGGCTAACCACATTTTTCTTTTCTAAAGTAAAGGATGGTGTTATCAGGGAGTGTCTATCTACTCAACAATTCCAGAGCACCCCTGCTACTGTCTTGGGGAGGTAGAGATTGTAATTGGCATCATGCCGTCAGGGCATGGGGTGGCCAAGAGCAGGATAGCAGGTTTATATCAGGGAGTAGGAAAGGCCCAAATAAAGCTGAAGGAAGAGTGGCCCTGGCAGTACCTCTTAGCAAATCCCACAAGCATGATGTAGCTGCTAATTCTGGTCCTCCTTTACAGGGCCCCACAGTGCCAGCAACAGGCACCTGTTAGGCTATATTAAGACAACACTGTCTCAAGTAGAGCCTAGGGCTGCCCTCCCCAAGAGGAACCTTCCTTTCCTTTCTCTGCCCTCCCCTTTCCCCTTGCCTGCCTCCTTCTCCCAGTCCTTTGGACACTCCCTTCCTAGACTCACCACCTCTCTCTGAATCACCAGGAGTCCCCCAGAATATCCAGAAAGTTCCCAGGGATACCAGAGCAGAGTAGTGTACAACAGAGGTGTCAAACTCAAATAGAAACAGAGCCACTGATCCATGCATAAGGATCACTGTCCCTGCAGGTCACAGATTGACTGTTCTAAAATGAAATATTATCCATCTCTTACTGTATTTTTATTTATTTTGTTAAATATTTTCCAATTACATTTTAATCTGGTTTCTGGCCTGACTCGAGAGTGTTGGGGTGTACAGTCCATGAACCACCATATGGCCAAACCCAAGAATTGTATCCACTCCAGGGTCCTGACCTAGGCAAAAGTCCAGCTGCCCTGGGTAGAAAGGGAAGGGGGAAGGGGCCTCCCACCTCTCTCCCCTGCGGTTACCAAGTTTGACCAGTGGATCTCTCTGGCTTATAGCATACCAGGAATTAAGGTTAGAGGCAGAAGTCATTGTTCCTCAAGAGATAGTGACTATGGAAAAGTCTATGGACCTAGCCTCTCTTTGCTCTCTACCTTTTTTCACCCCTCCCTATGCTCTTTGGATATGCTGACTCTCCTTCAAGGACTAGGGGGAGGTACTGGACTAAAACAGTGAATACCACATACCCTAGTCTGCCAGAGTGCCAGAGGCTGGTAGTATTTCTGGCTGCCATTCCCGGCTGCCTCCTCCACAGCCACCCCCACAAGAAGCCTGTCGTGCAGACAGACCAGGAGCTGTGAGCTGTGAACGGCTGAGGACAGCCTGTTCCCAGCCTGCTGGGTGAGGGGGCCCTATTGGGAATCCCAGGGAGAGGTTGAAACCTTTACTACCTTGATCCAAGAGTCCCCAACCTTGATTCCTCCCCGAAAAATGAAACCTAAACCTGTCCTCATGACCCTCAAGTCTTTGCCAGGGAAGTAACAGGCTAATTTGGGCTCTGCCTTGCAGGAGAGGGGGGTGGGAGGAGATGAGGGTAAGAAAAGTGCAGTAAGCCTGCTGGGAACTCCAGGTGAAAGGCTCCAAAGAAAATTCAATCTCTACCACTCTGAAGCCAGTGTGAGGAATGAAATTTCAAAGGGGGACAGCCAGCCTTTGACTTCTCAGTTAGGTCCCATGGCATGTGGGAGTGAAAAGTCCTAATAATGCCATTTTGCCATTCAGGCACTTGATATGGGGCTATGGGCAGCATTTGGAAACCTCCAGAAAAAATATTCCTCCTTTCTATGCTCATGAATGTATTCAGCTTGTTTCTTCCTCTGGGCCCTGAGGCTTCCCCTCTAGGGACAGGAGAGGGAGGAGGGTTGGTCTTCCTCACCAGTCCTATCTCAGTCTGGCTCTCACTGTTGGGGAGGGGGTGGGATGGGTACAGAGCTGCTAGAAGCCTTTTGTGTGCCCTAGGCAGTGTTTGAAAATTGCTTCCCCTTTTATGTTACTGTTCACCAGAAGCTTTGAGCCTGCACTGTAACTGTAACACATGCCACTTATCACAAAATAAATATCTAGCTGCTGTGGAGAGTGGAATTTTTAGACATTAAAAAAATCTGCTTTTACTAAAAAAAAAAAAAATTTAATACTCAAAATATCAGCCACTAAAATGTGACCCTCATGTGACCTCCCTTGGGTTTCACCATAGCTAGCTACCCACCTTGCCTACCCTTGGTTGCAGTTGGGAGTGGGGAAAGGAAAAGATAGAAAGCCTACCAGCAACCCTTGTGGATTACCAAGGACCTTTCTTGGATTCTTTATTACCACCATCACCCACTTATCCACTTCATGGCCAATGAATGTCCTCTTCTCTTAAGGGCTAAGCAAGAATTTAGGAGTTATTTTTCCTAATTCTCAGTGTATGAATCAGAGGCAAACAACACTCAGCCTCTAAGGTTCCATTTCTCAGCCAGTTCAAAGGAAGGACTATGGGCTATTTGAAGGGCATGAGAGTTAATGTGGTACACAGAGCATCATATAGTTGTCAGGAGAACTAGGTTTTAATCCTATGCTTACTTGCTGGGTTACTTTGAGCAAATCATTTCAGCTCTCCAAGCCTCTGGTGGATCAGACTAAATAATGAGTGTGTAAGGACCTGCTATAGAGATGGGAGGGATTATTGTTATTCTCAAAACCAGATATTACTCTCTCCATCCGCACAAAGCAGTAAGCTGCCAGCCTTTCCCCAGCAGTCTTTTTCAAGAGAAGGGGGAGGATAAAATATCCAGAGAGCCAGCAGTGAGTATCAGGTAGCTCTTAGGAGCAAACCTCTCCCTTTCTAGGCACCTGTTTAAGGGGTAGGGGTGGCATAAGAAGAGGGCCAGAGCCCGGACTGGAGGATGTTTTTCTGTCCTTACCTCCCCTCCACCCCATCCCCCTCCCTGCCCAGGCCTGAAGACCGGTGGTGGCAGCTCTGGAGGCTCTGGGGGCTCCTTCCACTACACCTTCCATGGCGACCCCCACGCTACTTTCGCCTCCTTCTTCGGTGGCTCCAACCCCTTCGACATCTTCTTCGCCAGCAGTCGTACCACTCGGCCCTTCAACGGCTTCGACCCTGACGACATGGATGTGGACGAAGATGACGACCCGTTTGGTGCCTTCGGCCGCTTTGGTTTCAATGGGTTGAGTGGAGGACCCAGGCGACCTCAGGAGTCCCTGCACCCCCGGCGAAAGGTGCAGGATCCTCCTGTAGTGCACGAGCTTCGCGTGTCCCTAGAAGAGGTCTACCACGGCTCCACTAAGCGCATGAAGATCACCCGGAGGCGCCTCAATCCCGACGGACGGACCGTTCGTACGGAGGACAAGATCCTGCACATCGTTATCAAGCGGGGCTGGAAAGAGGGCACCAAGATCACCTTCCCCAAGGAGGGCGACGCCACGCCCGACAACATCCCCGCCGACATAGTCTTTGTACTTAAGGATAAGCCTCATGCCCACTTCCGACGAGACGGGACCAACGTGGTCTACAGTGCCCTAATCAGCCTCAAAGAGGTAGGGTGAGACCTCGTCCGGGACTCCTGAGCTAGAGGCTGGTGTGGGACGGTCGGGGGTAGGAGGTTCTCCCTAAATCCCCCAATTTTCTGATGGCTAGGGTCTATAACCACCTCCCCCACCCCACCTTTCCCCTATTTGCTTCCCTTTCCCAATGCAGAAAAGCTGTAGAGGGTACCATTCCCATTCCCCACAGTCCTTCATAAATTAGTACCCCCTTCTTTCTGTCGCTCCCACTCTCCATCCCGTCTTCATTCTCTTTCCTTCTGCCCAGGCGCTGTGTGGCTGCACTGTGAACATTCCCACCATCGATGGCCGAGTTATCCCCCTACCCTGCAATGATGTCATCAAGCCGGGCACTGTGAAGAGACTACGTGGGGAGGGGTTGCCCTTCCCTAAAGTGCCCACCCAGCGGGGCGACCTCATAGTGGAGTTCAAAGTGCGCTTCCCGGACAGGATAGCTCCGCAGACGCGACAAATCTTAAAACAGCACCTGCCTTGCTCCTAGGCCCAGCCTCAGGGCCGGCTCCCGGCCTCCACAGCAATACCGCCCTCCGGCCCCGGGCTCCAGCAGCCAGAAAGGCAATCCGGCCGGCCCTACCGCCCATCGGGCAACCGTTTTCTAAAATGCAAAAAAGCCACTTTTGTTTTCAGAAAGTTGTTATCGCCCCTACCTGGCAGTGCTGTCTAGGGTGGGAAGTGAGGGTGGGGGGAGGGAGGGAGGGATACCCCCAGGGCCAGGGGGTCGCTGTTTTTGTCCCAAGCTTTGAATCCAGTTTTTACTGCTCCCGATGGCTGGAGAGTGACTTGACTGTTACTTGACGATTTGTAGAGGTTTCCTATCCAGGCCTGTAAATAGCATGTCGTTCCCCTACCCGCTGCTGAGGTCCTTCCTGCCCTCCTTTCTTGCCTCCTCTCCCGCCAAATGTTGGAGGGGGAGGGGAGTACAAACAGGACACTGTTACCCCGGACCGTCACCACACGGGGGGAGGGGGGGAAGGATTACTATTCACGTGTACTCAGTTATGTACACATACATACCTTCCCACATATTTGTGCACACATACTCTGGGATTGGGGAGGGGGGTGGGGAGGGCCACTGAGCACGAGACACTTTGTATTTACCAGGAGTGGCGTTTGCTGAGCTGCCTGTGGAAAAGTGGGACTGGGAGGCAGCTCCGCTTCACCACACATGCCTCAAACACTTTCCCTCCTTTGACAGCCACACTTTCCCCATGCCAAACTGGGTCTGCAGGCTGGGGGAAGTAGGGGTGGGCAGAAGGGGAAAGCGCATACGTACCACATGTGTTTTCTTTTAGGCTTAACTAAGGGGCTGGGGAGGGAGGGATTTTTACATTTTTGTACTGGGCAGCTCCTTGATGCTGCTAGCCTTGATCCAAAAGGAAGGGGATTTTGAGCTTTCTCCACCTTGTGGGAATTCAGGGTCACAGCAGCGATGCCCTGGCCTCCCTGACCTAGGGCTTCAGCCCTGCCAGAGCCCCTCTCAGGCCCTTCCAGTCCTAGTCTACTCCGTCTCCAAGCTTCTGTGGTCCTTTCCCTGGCCTGTGGAGCTGTACTTGTCCTGTCCCTGGAGTCTGGGGAACCCAGAATATTATACCTTGCTGTTCCACACTGTACAATTGTATATTATCCTGGAACAGCAGGGAACCCTGGAGAAGGGGTTGTTGACTCTGGCTTGGTCTGTGGCTACACCCTAAGGAACTGGGGTGGGGGCTTTCTTGGCTTTTCTCATTTTGATGAGCCCCTGAATGTTTTTATAGTAGTTTTTTTGTATTTTTTTGTAATGACAGTATTATGAAAAAATAAAGTATTTTAAAAATAGAGTATCTGTGAACCACTGCACTACAGGGAAATGGGGGGAGGGAAGAGAGGGAGGGATTATAATGGCCTCTCAACCACCACCCCTCTCCCTTTTCCTCCAGTCTTTTAGAAACCAGCCAGGAGGCTCTTAATCAAGGAAGCTCTTAAATCACCAGCTTCAGGTGTGAGCTGCCCCCTAGTGGCCAGCAGATTATCCTGAAGACCCAGAAGCTGACCTCAAAGTTTCTTCCTAACCAAAAGGCGAATTTGAGCGTGTATCCCTTGGGCAATCCAACGAATTCTCCCCTCACCCTGACCACCCAAAGCAATGCAGCAAACACTGGTAGGGAACAGAAAACAACTCTTGTTAGAAGAACAGAATGTATTTGGGAAGGATAATGCCCTTAACACAAATGGTAACCATTCTCTTTGGAAGGTCTAATAGTGTCATGTGTCATGAGAACAAGTTATCACCTGGGAGACTGGATTCTCTTGGTGGGAGCCAAAATACTCCATACTGAGGAGAAGGGCCTGGGGATTCCCTGTGAAAGGAGTAGGATTCCCCAAGAGGTGGCTTGGGATAGTGCTGGGAGTGGCCTAGAGTCCTGGAGAACCTTGACCCTCTATGGCGATAATGGAATTGACCTGAAGAGATGGACACCTCACTAGCAATGGAAGTTAGCTTCTCTGGGGCCAGATGCTGATCCCCGAATCTCACAGCTTTCTTCATTTTTTTAACCCTTCTCTCCCTGTCCTGGGCCTGCCTCTCCCAATGCAAACTCCAATGGCCTTCTGAACCTTTTCCATGGCCTCTTGACTTGCTGTTACCCTCCTGAACCCTAGCAGAGGAAAGAGCCCTGAACTCCTGGAATTTACCACCAGTGAGCTCTGCCTGGGTCTCCAGGATTTGGAGCTCCCTCTCCTGTTGCTGGTTCTCTTCCCAAACATAGAGCTCATCCATTAACCCCATTTTCTTCTGTAAGATCAGGCCAACTACTGTCATATCCTCTGGAGCTGAAGGAACCCCACGGCTCCCTTTGGAGGGAGGTTTGACTGTGAATGGACTTTGCTCAATGATCTCTCCAGCTATGGCTACCTCTGCTCTAGGGAAGGGCTCTTCTGTCCCTCTGATTTTCTTCTTAGGACAAAGCCACTTGAGGAAGCCCTTCATCTTCTCTGCTAAGCTGATTTCTAAAGGGATTTTGCGCTGGAGTACTCCCTCCTGCTTTGAGAACTCTCTACTCACAGGACCCTGAGATGGCCACCTACTATTAGAGGTGTGGCCCTTCAATAAATTGGGATCCTTTTCCTGTCCTTCATCCCTCATTCTTTGGTCTGTTGGGGGTTTGCTGAGGCTCCCTTTTCTCTGAGATTGTATCCGTTTTTTGGCCTGTTTTTTGCCTGTGACCTGAGATGGAAGTTTCTGGTATGCCCTCAGCCTGGGGCTTTTTCCTTCCAACTTCACAAGAGTACCAGGCCCCTGAGCACCTGTCATGTCCTCATTCAGTTGTCCCAGAGAGTATGACTGGGGGACCTCAGTGGTCTGAAAACCAAGAGCATGGTGCTGGACCAGAGTGTGTGGAGTGTGGCTCTCAGAGTAGCTCTGTTCTCGTACTCTCAGGTTGAACTCTTCCTCATCAGTAAATTGTTTAAAGATAAGGTGGCTTAAATCCTGGGTCTCCAGGGTTCTTAGAGAGAAGGTTTGTCCCTTTTCTTTACTCTCTCTCTCATGTGAAGGCCCTTGAAAACTTTCAATCTCTTCAGTTACCACAGAGTCTCCCAGTTGAGGATAGAAAAGGAATGATCTTCTTGTGGCCATTTCTCTAGACTCCCTTACCCTTAAGGGAATTCCCAAAACCTTCTCCACCATCCTTTTCTTCAGGTGAAAATTTAGCTTGGAGAAGCTGATGGACTTGTTTAATTCAGAGGGACTCTTACAGAGGCAAATACTTTTTTGGCTCCCATCTGCTCTCTCCTCACTCTCCTTGATGAGAGGAAATACCCTCTGCTCCTGTATTCCCTGTCCTTGAAATTGCTTCCGGAAAATGGAGACTCGATCCCTCTGTCTTGGAAGTAAAGATGGATGCTTCATAGTCAGCTCTAAAATTTCCTTCCTAGACCCCGTCTCAGTCATATGCTGTCTGGGTCCCCTATCCATCAAGCCCCGTCTAGGGGAAAATGCGTTCTCTTCCCAGTCCCCCCCAGCCTGAGGTGCTTCCCACAATTCCTTTCCAATATTCCAGGAACACTTCTCTGCCTCTAAGATATCTAAAATAACAGCTGAGGCCTCTCTGGCAACACCACCTACCCAGATTTCCTGAAGGTTTCGTTCCCCTACCATAATATCGGGCCCCAGGCCCTTACCTATAATAGGGGAAGAAATTTGAATTAAGGGATTTTTTAGTTTAAACAGGTACATGGATTCAAGGACCTTTCTGGGCAGACGCCACCTCAGCCGAATGTGCATATGGCGGATGTGGGATTCAAGGATTTTCTTAGTCTCTGGATCAAGGAATGGAATGTCCTTGCAGGGCTCTGCTTCGTAAATCACTTCTTCAGTGGGTGAAGGAGCCCAGGGCTGGGGTTGTGGTTGGGGCTGAGGTTGGGTTTGAGTTGCTGTGTTTTCCATAGATGGAGTGGTAAGAACAATCTCTCTCCTTTTTGGTTGTTTCTGTAATGGCTGAGTAGGCTGTAATGATACAGATCGAACCCTTGCTTCGGCCCAGGAACGGCTCACACTCTCAGGAATCACTTTCTGCTGGATTGCTACACTCTTCTGAAGAAAATGTTTCTGCAATGTCTCCTGCTGACTTAAGGATGAACTTTTCTCAAGGTCACTCTCTATCTCATCTGTGTGACTAGCTGGACCTCTCTTTGGAATTATTCCTGATGCCACATCTAGAACAGCTGTTGAGTCACTTGCTGTATCCTTTTTGCCAGAGTGCTTAAGACCCTGAAATATAGAAGGCGTAGGCTTTCTGGGCCTTGCTGAGTCTTGATGAGGTATAGTCTGAGGCACAAGGTGTTTGATGGAGTCTTCGACCCTCCGGGAAAGACCCCAGTGGTGTTGGATGAGCCTCCTTCGGAGATGGGTTTCCAACAGTTTCTTGACATCTTTGGATAGGAAAGACAGCTCCTGGGGCCAGTTGGAAATCTGCACCTGGGGGCAAGGGGACTTATGGGCCTGGGGCAGCTGGAGAGGCAAAGGCTTGAAGGCTTCATGAGATCTCTGAACAATATGGGGCACCCCCCATAAGGACTGGAGCTGTTTCTGCAGCAGGTGCCATTCCAAGGCCTGGAACTTGGGCAGGTAGATAGTTGGGATCCTTATTGTGGTCTCTTCCGGATCAGTTCTGAAGGCCCTGATCTGGGGTAGGAATGGAGAAGGGGATGGGGGTGGAGGTGGGGGTAAAGTCACTGGTGGAGTTAGGGGTGAGGGTGGAGGTGGGATTGGGGATACAGGTGGAGATGGTGGTGAAGATGGTCGGGATGAGGTTGGGGATGAGGTTGGAAGTAATTTTAAGTGTTGGACTGGAGAAGGCAGAGTGGGTTGATTTGCTGAGTTGGGCAGGTGGAGGTAGGAAAGAGCATTAAAGAAAACTAAAGGATTGTCCCCTGGTGGCAATTTGATGGTGGTCCCCAGCCAGGATGGGGAGCTGGACCCCATGTAGGTTGTCTCCAAAGATTCACTGTGTAGAGAGGGGAGACCCCAGAAAAGCTGAATGCATTGTGGATTACGGCTCACCGTGCTCTCAGGACCCCACCCAGGCCTGGAACACAGTCTGTTCAGGAAATGGAGAATGTTGGGGGCGAGGATCAAGGATATAGGCTTGTGGAGTCGCCGAGAGTTGGACATCTGC